ACTTGCAGTCAAATCTTTATAATCTCAATTTCGAACTGAGTATGCATCTTCTGTCTCATGAGGATGAGACTTTGGGGAATGACACACACATAGCGTATGTTCATAGTTATGGTGGAAAATAGCTTCGTGTTAAAAACTTGTTTACTTCTTTGAAGTTGAATTTTCTGATAGGGCCTATGTTGAATATAATTCTAAATGAGTACTTCACGATTCACTGTCTTGGATAAAACCCTACAAATCACATATGCATATTAAATATTCTTTTGTGATACTTTCAATCGGTGCCTTTCAGTAAAGTCTCATGCATATTTTTTGGTTACATTGGGAACCAAGTACTGTCCTGTGAAAGCATATCAGCAATCTTAGACCTTAATACAAGTTTTTAAAGGTTATGTGAGCATTCTTAATAAACATTAGATGCTTTAAACTATATTTTGTTACTTAGGCATATTATTTTTGTCTTTTGTGTGTCTTTTTCAGATTCCTTATTTTCCCCTTATCTGTAAAGTCAACACTGTGTCACTCTGTGCACTACAATAAGGAGGACAGATAGTATAAGTTTATAGTTAACAATTATGTATTTTTTCTCCTATGAATACGTAGTTTCCTCCTGTAAATTCATATAAGTCTTTCTAGAATTTCTAGAAAATCCTGCGTGACATAATGGCAGAAGAAAAAGAAAAAAATATTTTCCCTTAAGTATATTAGAAAGAATTCTACAAAGTTATGCCAATGGAGATGCAAGTTACCCCCCCCCCTTTTTTTTTCCTATTAAAAGAAAATAGTTCTAAAATAGTTGTGAAGCAAGAATACCACATAGTTCAAGAAAATGTTTCCCGACAGATAGGTCATCTCTTGAAGGGCAGGTTTCATTTTTAAATCCTGCTTGTCTGTAAATCTCTGTTTTAAAAAAAAAACCTGTTCTGGATTCTTACTATTGTAAGAACTAAGTAGTTATTTACTCCCTCAAAGTTGCTAGAGTTTATTCCTATAATGAGAACGAGATGCACATTTTGCATTGATTTATCTAGCATTTTTATCCCATTCTGTTTATGTGGGACTGTAAAAAACAAAGACGAAATTCTGAGAAAGTCTGATGATCATCTTGGTTGATCATTTAATCAGCCTGGTTTTAGTTATATTTAGTTACGTTAGGCTAGGTCCACACAAAGAGCAATTTGATTTCTCAGCTTTTACAAGTATCTACCTGAAAATCTTAGATATTCAAAAGTCTTGCTCAGCTGCTGCTCCAACTTGGAGATACCTGGTCTTTTGAGTTCCAGCTCCTTACATAGCTGAATTTCTGTTTCCTCCTAACCTGACATATACTGATAACGAAGTAGTTTTTTTCTGATAGCTTAAGACCACCATTCATCTGACATGTGGGATTAAATGAGGGAATCGGCTAGAGCAGAGAGGACACGTGTTCATGGTGCTGAGGAGAGGGCACGGTTGGCCAGCCTGCAGGCTGGGCATCTGCAGGGCGGTGAGTAAGATTGCCAGTTGTGTACTGTCAACCTTGTGGTCTTTAAAATTGTGGTCCTGAGTTCTAATCCTTTGAGAGGGATGGGGAAAAAGAGAATTTGTGTCTCCCATGTCCCAGTTGACTGTTTCAATTTTGAGTCATATTGAATAAAACCAGTGGGAGCTGCCTGCTTCGCACTACCTGTCCACCTCTATGGTCAACTTACCTCTTAATGTGTCAGATAACGTGGGCTGATGGATCACTGTAAGAAGCAACACCTGCAGTTTTACAAAAACCAGACTGAATCTCAACCAGTAAGGATTCTAAAATCCATAAAGCAACTCACGGTTTCTTCCATCCATCTAAAAGACTAACTTCTGGTTTTGACCATGTCTTATCAATTCATTTCTCTACTCCTGGCTCTCTCTTCAAGAATTCCTTCTTCCCCTTCAAATACCTTTCCTCCATCTGCATTTAGCAATGTCTGATTGAATAAACAGAAAATAAATTAAATGCATTTGATCTTTTGTTGTTTCCATTGCGTTATGGAAAAATTTCTCAGGATTTTAAAAGTTGAAATCATGAATTGTTATTCAGTGCGGAAGCTTGACAAATTTAGGGACGCTTTCCAAGAGCTTCATCAAAGTTTGTTCTGTTTTCTTCAGATTTTCTTTCGTTCTTACAAACAATTTTTTCAGCCATAATATGAAGAGTGAATTATGTTTTTGCTCATGCATAATCTATGAGACAGGTAAACACAATTCCTTTCATCTTAATGATAACATCTTGTATTATTTACATGCTATGTTGGACTATTTTTTCTGGTTATATGAACATACTAGGAATGGTGTTGTTTATATCAACGTGGAGATCAGTTCTGACAACACATACATACAAAATTAATTTCATTACTCAAGTCAATGAATATTTTTATTTTTTACCTGTTTTTACTGGATCAAGAAGTTGTGGGTTGGTTTTTTTTCCTGAAAGGGCACAGAAATATTGTTTTCCAGGGTATTCAAGGTACAGTGTGTTGGCACTGGGTTCGAGTGCCCTGACTAGCTGTCATTTTGTTTCTCCAATACATCTTGGAGGCAACGACCAGGCCTATTGGTTCTTTGGAATAATAGCAATGACTTTCTCAAAACTGGTGGCTTTCTGTTCTAGAGAGAGGATGCTCTACTCATTTAATATTACTATGAAGTTTACCCATGCCATAATGGCATCCTTGTAATGAAGGACAAAGCACAGCTTGTGTTTTTCACGTGATTGATTTTCGTGGGTATGCTGGTATAGTTCAAACTTGTATTTAAGTATTACATAATGCTAATTCTTGTAGAAAATATCAAAGTATAAATTATCAGTAATCCCTATGCAGAAATCAAAGATTTTCAGTGAAAGCATAGGAAGATACGCTACAGAATAAAGGAAATAAATATCACCCTAATGGAAATGCCTGAAACTGCTGAAGAGCTGAGCTGCCCGCCTCTGTGGGTCAGTCTGCATGTTCCTGTTGTCAGTTACCCAGGACCAAGGGATCACCGTAGGAAACAATGTTTGTACTTTTGTATGACCTAGACTTAATTTAAACCATCTAAAAAGGAAATAAAATCAGTCTGTGACTAGGGCCAGACGAGGCTGTGTCTCTTCTATGAGAAATAGGAGAGGAGATATGCTATTAAAAAGAATAGGATATTCATGGTACTTAATTCTAAATCATATCTAATGAAAAATGAATAATTTTTGTCTTATATTTACCCAAACAGAATTACTTGTAGTAGGAAATCCCTTAGTCCAAACAAGGCAGAAGTGATTCTTCTGATTTAGAAAAGGAATCTAAAATCTGACAGACAAATTAAGATGATTAAGGTTAAACAGAGCAAAGTTCATTAGTCCTTCCCAAAAGTAACATTCTGCTGAAGGAGAAGTTGGAGATGTGGTTTCTAAGCTGCATTTCTGACTGGTTTTAAGTAGCTTAAGGTACTGAACTTACAAAAGGTTACCTGGTTTCTTTCTTGGGTGCTATAAAAACGATTTCTTTAGCGAGGTTGTACTGCGGATGAAGGTTCATGTGGGGCACCTGTCTAAGCGCGCTCCTGCTGGAAAAGCCCCTTCTCCTGGGAGCGTGCTTTGCCTTTCAGTTACATTAAGTCTAGATTTGAACTACTGGTAAAAACTCGGTTTATTTCAATTTTCTTCTCTTCACTTAGCAGACATTCAGTCTTATCTTTCTTCCTTTGACTTTTGGTAGTTTTGTTACTGTTCATATGCGAGAGTAATTGCTCAGCTGGTTAATGAATTATGATGCTTTTGTTACAGGGAAATCTGTGTAACTCAAAAATAGAAATCAAATTGCTTGTTAATTCCCTCTAGTGATGGGTGATGAATATGGCAAAATTAAACTTTATTCATAGATGGAAGCAACACAGTTGCTAAGTTGCTAAACTCCCTGGTACCTGGGTAGGATGGAAAAGTGATGTCAAATGCCTCCCTAGTTCAGTTCTTCATGAAAAATTAAAAGATTTCTTTTCTCCTTCAGTCCTTTGGGAGAGGAGGCTCTATTGTTCAGACCGAGTTCTTTTTTTTCTCTCCTGTTGGTTGGGATATCTCTGAATTGTGTGATTCTAGTATGTGTGCTTTGCTGTCCACTATTTTAAACTATCTTTTTTTAGGTCTTATTTCATTAAGAAGGAGAGATATATTAGTTTTCCTTAGTGAATACTATCTAGAAAATCTGTTTAAATTTTAATTGCATATTACTTTGCAATAAATAATCAGATGTGTATAAAGCAATTCAGAATTAATAGATAGAATGTGGGTTTTTAATACTGTTTTTCTTGTGACAAAAATAACTTACTTACGGTTCTATAGGCATGCCACTGTATTTCTCTGTAAAGAAAAATGATGAGTTAATATTAAGCTATTATTTTTACAGTGTTCCCTAATACATTCCATTATCACATTTGAACACTAATATGCTTAGTTTATCTCAGTATTTTTTAAACAAATGTTCTTAATAAGTGCATTTAATTGAGAATGTTTAGCAATTGTGTTGAAAATTATGTCTTAAATCTCTTTTAATTTAATCTGTTTTCTTTAATCTTAATTTAATACCATTGTTTTGTGTTGCTTGATGTTACTCGTTGTTTTAGTCATCCTTGCCACTCCTAGAAAGTTGTCCTTCTTTCTGGAAATGCTTGATGGCTCGGGTGAAGCTATCAACCTTTCTGTTAAACAGCAGAATTAGTGCCGCCGCCTTTTTCCTTTTGTTTAGTTGGGGTTTACCAAGGATATTGTTCAGTAGAAAAATTAAAAGGTGTGAAGTTTCTATTGATTTGTTTTCTTTCTCTTTTCCTCAGACATCTTTATTTCTACTTTTTCTCTATTCTACCATAGTTCCTTCAGCAGACAGTACTTTGAAAAGCAATTCTATTCCTTAACCTCCTTGTCATTTCATAGCAGTTTTTCTCGTTGTGATAAACATGATACACCCAATCTTCGCTGGACTGAATGATTCTTAATGTTGCCTTTGCAGGATGTGGTACTGCAACAGGAGGAGCTGAAGATGAAGGTGAGGCTGAAGCTGGCTGGATTGAAGGTGCTGCCATCCTACTCTCTGTTATCTGTGTTGTACTTGTCACTGCCTTCAATGACTGGAGCAAGGAGAAGCAGTTTCGTGGGCTTCAAAGTCGTATTGAGCAGGAACAGAAGTTTACTGTTGTCCGAGGTGGACAGGTTATCCAAATCCCAGTGGCAGAGATAGTAGTTGGTGACATTGCACAGGTGAAATATGGTAAGTTTTGTCGACTACATGACTGCTTTTCTGAACTTTGTTTATTCTCCTTTCCCTTTCTAGCAGAATAGACTCAATTCACTGGAAGGGATTTAAAAGACAGAGAATTATGTGGAGTCATTATTGTCCATGGTAAGATGTCAGTTTGGCTGTTAGGGCAGAAGGAAAACTGCTCGCTATAAAATTGCACTAGGTAATTAATTTTACTTTTGTAATCTTCACTTCCTTTCACACTGTTCATACAAAGGTAATTCTCTTTCATGGAGGATTACAGTGTTTGGAATTTTTGGTTTCTGCCCAGTTAGGATTAAGAGGAAGTATTTTTAAGTGCTCTGTGAGAGGGAATTGTGCCTCTGTGCTCACACCACCTGGCAGGCTGCTCCAGAGCTATGGATCCTGTAAGTCCCCCTACATCGGGCGCTTCTAGTAGGTGGATGCCTTATAATTCTATTCCATAGGGAAAGCCCTGTGCTCCAGTGAACAGGAAGACGTTGGCAGGAACTCTGTGTATCTGTATTTGACTGAGCTGGAAAATTCCAGCAAAAGGCCTGTTCTGTCAACTGTCAAGTCTCTCCTGGACTTAGCTAAGGGCTTCCTGAGAGGGGAAGGGGAAAGGGCAGCTCCACTGTTCATTAGCCACTGCTAATTCCTACGAAGTCTGAGCGAGAAACCTTCATTTCAAGTTAAAAAGAGTACTCCTCCTGCCAAACCTCAGTGATTATTATGTTCATCATATGTTAAATGTGATGCGCTCGGATTCTGGGATAGCATTAGGCAAAAAATATTTGCAATATAAAGGCCCTTCCCTGTAGGATTGCAATAATACCACTGATACGGTAGTAGTTCATTCACTTTCGCTTTCATTTTGCATTTAAATGTAATTATTGTTAATTGCGATTTTATAATAAAAATCATTATGTAATTATAAAAACAATCTTACTAAACCACTGTGGTTTTCCATTACCATGTTCTTACTGAAAGGTGATCTTCTACCTGCCGATGGGATATTTATTCAAGGAAACGATCTTAAAATTGATGAAAGTTCTTTAACTGGAGAGTCAGACCAAGTCCGCAAATCTGTTGACAAAGACCCGATGCTACTGTCAGGTAAATCTGCCTGAGTTCTTGTTGAGTTGTCTTTTCTGCACTGCTATGTTTATGTTTTGCTTTTATATTTTTTTTCATAATATCAGCTTTTGGTAACCTAGATAAAACTGATCTTTTGAACACAGACCCTGGCCTTCTCTGTTTGTCATACAAAGGACATGCTATGTTTTTTATTGTGTGCAATTATTTCTGATCATCATACTTATTTTATAAAGTGAGAAAGTAATGAAACCTTTTCAGAGGAAAAGGAAAGTATCACTTAGAGAAATTGTAATTATGAAGTTTCCATTGATTTGCATACTTTCGTGTATTCCTAAATTGAATTAGATCTTTCTGAATATCTGTGGATTTCAGTGGTGACTGTGAAAAACCATGCCTGAAAGGCATAGTGGGAAGACAAAGGGAAAGCAGTCAAGTTAGGAGAAAAGATGTTTTTGTCTTTCCAAAACTCAAATTTCTTTGCTATAAAGAGAGAATTTTGCCTTCATGTTTTTATTGCAGAGTTAAATAAAGTTTATACTCTTTATTTTTCTCTATTACTATGTAATCACTGTTGTGATTACACAGAAGGTGAAGAATTAATGTGATATTTGAACAAGCACTGCATAAACCTTTGTTCCATACTTATACTAACAAATTTTTACTTATGTTGTGTTAGAAAATCCTTGAACTCTATTTGCTCAGGAGCAGAGTTGATAATTTGAGATTCTATCATGCAAAAAACTACCTGCTTCCATAATTACAGTGCAAGGTTTAATCCCAATGCTACAGGAGCTGATGTGCCCACTGGAAATTATTAGTAGTCAAAAAACTTGGAAAAGACCATGTTTTTCAGGGTAAACCAGGTTTTTTAACCTGGTTTAAAAACTGAACCTACACTTATATCTTTATGAAACTTGTTTAAAGAAAAAAAACCAGACCAGCCCGCTGCAAAAACATCAGATAGACCTTAAATTTTCCTCTTATCTTGGCACCTGAAGACATCACTGAGTTATCTCCAGGTAGACTTTCAGAATTTGGACAAATATTACCAGGATGTTGCTTGCCACTATTGTTCCTTAATCATCTGTTAAGGGATTCCCTTAGATGTGTTTCATTTCACATCTGGAAGTGAAAACAGTTCAGGTTTGACAGAGGAATAACTGAAAAAAGGTAAAATTTGAATTGCAGCCACCGTTTGTTTTGTAAGCCTAAATTTGGTGAAAGATAAACACCCTGAATCAGGAAGTAGTGTTTTCACCATTGGTACTTGAAACATTTTTAATATTCAATGAGCTTCAATGACATAGTTAAACTAAATGAGTTTCTGTGCTTAATGTCCTGTTTAATCATCCAGATAGTCATTTACTGTACTCGAGAAGCAATTCTGAGAGTACAAGTGCTGACTAAACCAGATGGTTCATTTCCATCTGTATACAGCACATTTGGTACTACCAAGGAAGGCAGAAATGGAAATACAGACTCTGATATACCTGAAACCAAAAGGAGCAGCTTCTCTAGTTCCATTGTGCTTCTGTCTAAAACGTTTTCCTCTTTGTAGTTCATTAAGGGAGATTTGCATGCATGGTGTGGCATAAGGCATTGCATGAAAAGCGATCAGCTTAAATAAGACTACGGTGATATTAAATTTCTTTGCCATGAGCATGGGCATGGATCAACCACCGGATGAAGACAGGTTGGGTAACCAAAGTGACTGCTACTCAACTGTCTTGATTGAAGCTGATGTGCCCTTTAAGTTTTGTATAGTTCAAAGTTCACAGAAATCCATGATTTCTAAATACGGAAGTTTTGAATGTGAGTCTGGGCTCAGTATTGCCCACAGCGAAGTATTTTGGGGTACCACGTGTTCTAATAGTTAACATTGTAAAGAATGCCTTATGAAGCTTGCCACTTAAAGCTTTTTTCCCAGGTATTTAGATTAATTTGATTAAGGTATGAAAGAGATATGTAGAGGAGCTCACCTAACGTAGTTCTGGCTGAACTGAGACTGACAGAACTCTAACAGTTCTGAAAATATCATTATTAAAACTATCTCTTTAAAAGGAAAATTTTATGCCAGTTATGAAGTTATCTTTAAAAACAGTAACAGACAGTTACTTTATCCTAACCTAGCTTTTACAAATGCATATTTCTATCAATGCGCAACAAGGATTTGAAACAAAGAAAACAACTTACTCAAGAACAAATAAACAAAAGAAATCTCTTGGTCATGATGCTTTGTTAGGTTTTGGAAATAGAAAGGAAGCCTGAGTCAGGAATCGGGTCAGTTATTGCCTGGAGAAAAATAGTTCTGATTCTGTCTTAATTCTCTGCCAGAAAATATTCCAAGTTAAGGCTTCTAGCACAGCAGAAATTTTCAGAACTGAGCAGCTAACTTTAAAAGTTCCAAATTATTTGGATATGTCAAAATTATTTGTAGATGATTTTTTTCTGGAAAATGATTGTATTTTTTTTCCATAGAGGATATTCTGATGGTTGGATCACTTATTAACTTCACTTACCTCTTCATAATTGCAGTGACTAAAGCAGTTGTTTAGATATGCAGATAGAGAATTTTTGTTCACCACAAGTTTGCTGGAAGTAGCAAACCAGTATAAAACTCTCGAACTGGCATGCTCTGGTTTTCTTTTCTCGTTTTTTTCAGCCCTATTTCCAATCTGTTTCAACAGTACTATTATTAGATTTAGAGGTTTCTGAGCAGTCTCATGTTTAGTTGCATTTTTATCTGAAAAGTATGTGCTGTAATAGGTTCCTTCTCTGTCTTTCCTGTTTATATCATTTCTCACTCGACTAGACTTCTTCCTTCTCTATCTTGGAATATTCACCATTTATCAACGTCAAATTAAATACCCAGCATGTGAACAAATGTACTTTACTAATATTGAAAAAATAGTCTTGAGAGAAAAAAAGAGGTCAGCAGAATTATTGAACATGAAGGTGGAATCCATGCTTAGTGTACAGATAAGTGAAAAACATGCATTCGTTCCAGGATGCCATTTATATAACAGTAGCTGGTTGAAGTCATACAGCCCATTTCTTTATTCAATCTAATATAATTATAATATGGTTTAACTGGTGAAATTGCCAGAGTTAGCTGGAAGGAGGTTCAGCTCTTTGGTTTAGCTTAGATGCTGAAGATTTTTTCCAATAGTACCAGTGGAACATAATCTGATGATAAATTAGTACCTGCTCTAAAACATGCCTTTGTACGCACCGTAACAGTTTCGAATTACGTTTTACAAGACTAAAGTTAAGAAAAGGTTCAGAAAGGCATTTCCAGTTGGGACATTTTTACCCTTTCCAGGTGTGCAGAGGCAGGCTTGAAATCTTGTGAGTGCGTGTTTTCTTGATAAAGCTGACTTGGAAGCATAGGCATACATGCTGTTTTTTGGCATGTGCCCACCTTTGTAGTCCAACTCAGAAGAAAATTCCTTCAAAACAAAACATAGGAATACTAAAAGCAAGTTCTTAGATAAAATATGTTTTAAAGGGTGTTACATCTTAAAGGAGATTCCTCTAAATTTCCGAGTGAAGTTTCAGGCGTTTTCTGTTTTCTCTGAACCAGTACAACCCAGCCTATTCGGATTTTTAAAGATCTCTTCTGTTCCTTTAGGCTTGAACGTAGCTTGTGTTTTGTTGTTTGGGTGATCTTAATTTGTATGTTGATGTTTTGCTCTGTCACATCAAAGAAAGCAAATGACTCTTTAAGGGAACAAGTTTTCTCCCAGAATGCCATAGGAACGGTTCTCAATGCACTGGGAAGATCTATTGCTTTTTTAATAACAAAAGATATCTGACCGTTATTACTTTTTTGTTTTGATTTGACTTATTTCTGCTGAAATTTTCTTAGTGTTCTGATGAGATATTTATACTATCAAATTAGGCTTAGTGTTGACAGATGTTCTCACTGTTCTGTGTTTCTGTTTTCCTTTTAAGAACATGAGAGATTTTGATTATTTAGAGGAAGATAATTTTGATTATAAATAGATAGTTGCATTGCTTAATATGCACTAGGGCAGCAACTGGATGAGCGGTAATAAGAAAATGGGATTTTTTCAAAACTGGTTTACAAGCGTGAGTGTATATATTTGTATAAAATATTGATCTGTTGAAGGACACAGATCCATATATCTTTCCTTTTTTCAGTCTTTGAGATAACTCAATGAAAGGAATAGATGTAGATGAGGATGAACCCGATAAAATGTTATTTTGAAAGGGAAGGGAGGAAGAATCTTTTCACAGCCATTCAGATTTAGTAGTTCTGAACGTCCAGTAAGATTCTCCATGAGTAATTATGTTCCCCATTTGCTCGATGCAAGAGGCTCACAATTCGGTCGGTTAGAAGCCATTTTGCAGGAGCTGGCAGAAAGCTTGTTTGAAGATCTCTTTTCTTATTTACTGGGGCTCCGGGCGTGCCCTGCCGCGGTACATTTTAGAACTACAGGTGTCAGGGAACAACTCCACTCAATATTTTAAAACTAAAGTGGTAGTTAGTGGGGAAGTGATGGGAGCAAGATAGTTGAGGATAAGGATACTGGAATTTTTACCTCATTAGCCACAGAAGTGTTTAGGACTAGTCAATTAATGACTCTATCTAATTCATGCTGTTACAGAATGAATGAAACAGTGATGTTATCTTAAGGAAGGTAAATGGAGAACGCCTACATTTATGGCAAACTTGGTAATTGTAAAGCAGTACAGTGTAAGTATTGAGGTGACGTGAGGATCTAAGGAACAGTAGGTTAAAACCCAGCAAAGAATAATAGTTTGTCACAAATACTGCAGTGACAAGGAAAAGATCGAGGTGGGGACTATAAGCACTAGAATTGGTTTATTACCACAATGGTCACACTGTTTAGCTGACTTAAAGACTCTTAAACCAACAAATAGCTTCAAAAGAAGAGTAAAAATGCTTCCTCTCTCCATGTGTCCCCCAAAGGAAAATGTAATTACTGGACTATGTTCTGATTCCATCTGGTCTTATTCTTCTGATGTCCCACAACTGCAAGTCTGGGATAATGACTGGTCTTAAAATGTAATTTATTTAAAACTGTACCACCCTGGATTAAAAACAATTGTTAAATAATGGAATACTTTATGAGCAGGTTCTAGTTAACCATATGTCCATGTTCACTTGGAGGTATTAACACATATTTGTCTTTTTTTATACAATTATTTTTTTCTCAAGGCTAACAGTTTGTGTGTTACGCTCTGTTTTCAGAGTTTCCAAACTATTTCCTCTTCAAATACAGGAAAGAGTATTTAAAATAACCCAAGCCCAGTAAACTTTTGATCCTGGCTTGCTCTGTCAACTTTGTGTGAAGAAACGATTGCTTTTCTTCTGTGTTCTCACAGCAGCTTTCACTTAATAGCCATAACATAATTTTCCACCCCCAAAGGATAAAAGACAGTGTCTATTTCAATGAGTAGCTTTATCTGTCTATCAGTAGTTTCTGCTCATTATGTATTTGTGTTTCATCTGTTTCATAGGAGCGCTACTGATCTGCTTTCCATCTTTTAAAATTCAGTACCTGCAAAGGCTGCCTCTCTTCAAACATTTTAAATGTTACTTCAGTAATGAAGTTTTCAGATTAAGACTTTGTCACCATATGAGATGGCGAATTAGTCACGATTTGATACCATCTTTGGCACATTTGTTCCTGTGCTTCAGTAACGGTTTTCTTTAATAACCTTTTATTAACTAACCTTAAATACAAATCATAACAATAGGTTGTTCTTCCATTTCAAACTTTTTTTAGGAATTGCCAGTGTGCAATTGTGTAGACTGATCTTTTGATCTCTGTTATAAATTTTTTCCAAAATGTAAATCAGAATACTTTTGATTGTTTCTAGGAATTTCTATTTGTGTTTCCACAACTCAGCAACAGGTTTCTAAGAGGCTGTGATCTTAGATGCACAAAACATTGGTTAAGTGGAGGAGTAAGAGCTGTAAATAAACAATTTCTATACAATAAAGTATGAAATAAGGGGATTTTACTTAATGTAATAATTACCTAGCTAAAGAAATGATCCTTCTCAGAAAAACTTAATGTACACTTTGTTTTACAGTAATAGAAATCTCTGTACATACTGAATTTGTTTTCAATTGTATGTCAGATTCTTCTTGCTATTTGGTAATCTCCTGATTTAATTAAACATCCCCTTGAAGATTTTTCTCTGTATTTATTTGTTCAAGTTTGAAGATGCGAAATTGTCATCAAGAAATATTTTTTCTATGCCCATAAATCAACCATAACTGAGAAAGATATGAGAAATCCCACACATATTTTCACTTTGTTTATGTAATAGTATTCCCTGTACAGTCAGCGTGGGCTTGACTGGAGTCACAGAGGAATGTTTGCAGAACTCTGAAAAAATATTTTCAAAGTTAAAAGAAATGACCGTGTGAAGCTAAACTATTATCTTCCAGGATTATATAAACTTGTTAAGTGACAATGTTTCTTTTAAAAAGGGAATCTGATCTGTGTGGTTAATGGAGTGCAGTCTGAGATTGGCAGTTAAGCATTTATTCTTGGTTGACAATAATCGACAGCAATAGGGATTATTTTTGGTATGTAGTTACGTTGGCCTCAATATAGATTTTTAAAGCGTAACAAATCTCTCTCAGTGCTATAGTAAAAGTCTTGCATTAAATGTTTAATGGTTGTGCTTTTTATTTTTTGAGCTGTATCTAACTTACTGCATATTTTCAGGTACTCACGTCATGGAAGGCTCTGGACGAATGCTCGTGACTGCTGTGGGTGTGAATTCTCAGACAGGCATCATCTTTACTCTGCTAGGTGCTGGAGGAGAAGAAGAAGAAAAGAAGGATAAGAAAGGTAAATTTCACAACACATAAGGATACTCCAAAGAAAGCTCTTGGGCTTTCTGAAGCCAGAGCTCTCCTCCGTTCTCGACAAATAAATATGATTTAAAAAACTTCCTTTTTTGTATACATTTTTGTCATTACATGTCACACAGAAAAACAGCAAAAGCTGTTAACCAATAAATGCATTGGATAACAAGATGTTTTTCCAGTGTGAAACTGCAGACTCTCAGTACATAATGAAATGCAAGGGCATACACGGGCATACTCCCATTGCCATGTCTTCTTTACATAAATCCATTTGCTAAGGTTTTGCTCTTGTGCATTTACATCTACGTAATATTTTTTCAGAAAAAAAGCTTGGCCATGGAAATAACATCTTTGTGATTCAAAAATAAAATAAAGATAAGAAGTGGCTTTTTGCTAGCCTAGTTGTTTAATGTCAGTGACTGACTTAACAGGCATTTTAATTTCTTAAGGCGTACAAGTCAAACTAAGAACAGTAAAAGACAAGAAAGTAGCAGTAAATGTTAACAGAGAGTTTAACTTTGGTGTCCAGTATCAGTTAATGAAATCAAGAAGTCTTTTTAGACCTTTCACCTTATCATAGTATGATGTTTTAAGCAGTTGCAAATTTATGGGTTGCATACTAAGCAGAAACATGGTTTAATGTGTGTCCTTTCCAGTCTTTGTTCATACAGTCTTGTAAATTGTTCAAGTCTTTCAGAATTTCATTCCAAGTTCGTTTTGAGAATATTTATCTTTCAGACATAATTAAGGGCCAATTAATATGGGTTATTTTAGACATTTCTGCTCTTTTTAGTGGTTTTCACTATTAATAAGAGAGTAATTACAGCTTAACTGAAGATTTTCTTTAGTATCTGTCAGGCAGTGTGATTCCAACTTTTTTTTGTTCCCATTCTTATAATCTGAAGCTGCAGATAGGAAGGCCTAATTTAAATGGTTTTCATGACCTGAAATTTCCATTTCTGAGTATGTTCAACAAGTGGTTTCACTTGGCTCCATGTTTCTCTGAGGAAATCCCTTTTTACTTGATGAAAGACTTTATGGAATGTTTACCGTTTCATTTCTACTCGGAAATGTGCAGTACCTGCTGGGCAGGGTAAGTTCTAGGAACATTAAAAGGAGAAAGACTGAAACTTCCCAAAGTGAAACTCCTTCATGTCACACTACGTTTGAGCAGTATCTTAGAGTCTAATCTTGCTGTCATTAAGGGAAAAACTCCCTAGACACAGGCCTTTTGAGATCTGGCAGCGTCTGTTTTGGCAGTGTCTAAGGATATCGTAGGTGAGAAGGAGCAACTGCGGTACCTATTTGAACATGACAGTTGTCTGCCCAGAGGTCCTTTGTTCAAGTAGGTTGGCCTTCTCTGCATGTCATTTTGCTCAGGACACTGGTGATTCTCTCAGGTTTCGTTGTGGATAGCTTTGAAAGACAGGGAAAGAGAAACCTGAGATAGCAGAGTAATGCGCTGCACCGTGGTTGTAACTTACTACCCAGAGACGGAGAGTCTAACAGAGATGTGTGAGAACTTCTTACGCAGACACTGAACCCTGATTGGGTATAGCTACAATAACGAGAAGATTCCTTCACGTTTTCTAGTGCTTTCACCAGCTTTGTGCAGGTGCAGAGCAGTGCCTGGGCAGATTGAGGCCCAAACCCAAATAACGTTCTCTCATCTATAAACCTGCAATGCCCTGAAATCCTGCCAGTCATAAATGTTTGTTTCAGTCTTATGTGGGTGTATGCTTTTATCGTTCATTAACATTTTGTAAAAATCATCATACAGGTGTGAAACAGGAGGATGGACATCAGCTTCCAGGTAGAGTAAAAATTGTACCACATCAAATGAAAGGATGAGGCTTTGGTGCAAATCAAGGTTGAACTAATGATTAAAATAACTGTCCTTGAATCAGTCCAGTTAAATTAAAGAATAATTTCAAATCAACAGGGTTGGTTCATTGCACATGTGAGTGCAAACACATTGTTGGTGTTGCAAATCTTGATGTTAAGCTTGAGTAATCGGTTATCCTTTAGAATAAATTGCAGTATATTAAATGTTGAAATGCATGATTTGCTGTTGGCAGTTCATGCTGTGCTGGTTAGTATGAGTATCCAAATGGAATAAAAAATAAGCATGAGTAACCAAAACAGTTTAAATTATTACCATCACAGTAATCAAATTTGCAATTGAAATTTTCATTAATGTAGTTACGCAGCATGTACCTTTAAGTCCTGTATGCTGCTTATTTTCTTCTCCCAATTAACCATTTGTAAATAAAACAAGACCAATTTTCTTGAGTAGTAAACCAGTACAGTGTGAACCGGTCACTATGGCTCGTCCTGAGGGAGTTCAAGAGTCTCGATCAGGATTCGTTGTGTGACTTCTGCATTCTATTGTGAACACTTAACCAAGAGAAACAAAACAAAACTTATTTTGTCTATTATTTGTAGAAACTAATTTTCTAAACGCTAGTATAAAAGAACCATAGTAAAATAATAAAACCTTCTTTTAGTTTTTCACTTTCCTACTAGGAAAGTTTGCTTGACCAGTTTCCCTAATATGCAGATAATTGCTGAAAACAAAAAGAAGATTTTCTTTTCTGATTGCCACAAAATGGGCAATTATGTAGAGTCTATTATTTGGATTTAAAATAACTCATTGTTCAGCTTAAGACTATATTGGCCAAGATTCTGTATTTCTTCTACATTTCCACATACAGTACTGAGAAGATTAATGTTTCTACTCAGATCAACGTGCCTATTAACTAGGCCATGGCAGGACATAGATTGAGCCCATGTTAGACTGGGATGGATCAGCAACAATACCTTATCATACACGACATTACATAAAATACAATATACGTAATGTTGTATATGGTATGTAGTATGTGGCACTCTTCAAAACCACCCATGCATTGCATAAATTAACTCACTGAAGGGAAATATTTCAACCATTTTAATATTTGCATAAGACTTTAATTAAAGTAAAAAAAATACACATGAAAGGACCAAAACAATGTACGTAGTACTGTGTACTGTCAGTTCTCACCAACTCTGTTAACTTTTAAAAATGTCCTTCATATTTTATTTTTTTTTAATTATTCTTCCATATATGAGTTTTTGCCTTACGTTGTAACACCTTTGTAATAACATTTTGCTTTTGGAAGTTATGTTAATCCTTTTAAAACTGATTTTGGAGAAAACAAAGCCATAGTATTCCATAAATGTTTTTTGTTTTGTCATGTGCATTTGTTCATGTCGTTGTTGTTGTTATTATTATTATTTATTGTTTTTTTTATCCATTATTGCTCAGTAGATTCTTCCCATCCCTCCTCCCACCCTCCTTCAGCTACAGATGGTGCAGCAGGTGCAAATGCCACTGATAATGCAAATGCCAGCTTAGTCAATGGTACGTCAAGAACACCTAGCTTGTTTTATTTGATAGATTTCTCTCCTGACTATATAAGATTCCCTCTTCCTTTTATGAACTGCACAGATGTTGTATGTGCACGTGATTACTCTGAGAGATCCTACTCCATAATCTCTGTAGTAGCTTATAAGAGATGTCACAAAGATGCAATGACTTATTTACTTTATTCACACAGAATTAAGCGTGAGAGAGAAAGAAGTAGGATTTGCAATCTATTTGCCATTAATTAAAACTGCAATTAAAAGGAATAGTTAAGTAAGGCTAGTTTTGAAACTTTTGAGTTACCTTTACGTGATGTTTCATTGTAAAGCTCTTCTTTACACCTTTGTCAGCATAGGTCTGAAGAACACCACTATGACAAATGGATTATGTCTTCTTTTCTTCTGATGTGGCGCTCTCATGAGTATTCATATAGTTTTCATGTAGTTCAGAGAAATAGTGCTGGGGTCAGGAATCTGTCTTGATTTCAACTAACAGCGCTTTAGGAATAACTTTTACTGCATTAAACGTTTTTTGTTGGAAGAGACTGACTGAAAAGTTATATTTGTGGATATTTGTGTGTGCCCTTAGATAGTGACCATCTGATGAGCCTGCTTGTATTTACTAAAAAGAAACAAAAAAACAAACTACTGCAGTCAGTTTTGACTGTCTCTTAGTACAGCTGCTTGACCCCACTACTTAGCGTGCAGATATTTCAGTATCTCTTCTGATAGTCTAATTCCAGTATTAAATGAAACGGGTCAATATTAGCCTAGGCTTCAGCTGCATTTTTCTGATAATCAGATACATTGGTCTCTATTTGCCATAGAATCATTTCCCTCTTGTACAGCACCAATAATGCTGACAAAAGTAATTCTACTTTTCCTCATGGTGATTTTTTCCGTGCAGGTCAGTAGTTGTTGCATTATGCCTGTGGAACTAGAGTTTCTGACATACAATACCGAGTAGTAAAGCGGTACTAAGATTTCCCAGTGTAATAGCTTACTTAAAGCAATGACATAGGGAATCTTTGAGCCTATTTTTAAACAATTTTATTATAATTTAAACGAAACATATAACCGAGTTTGAAACTTTATTCCTACACATTCTAAGTTTGCTGGAATACTAGGATTTATGATCCCTACATCTCACTGCATGACAGGAACATATATCATCCTGATTCCAACAGCTCAATTTCAGGTTCCTTAGAGACCAAGAAACAGGAAATTAATGATGAATATTTCATACTCCATGCTTTGTGCTCTATATTTTTACTCTTCTGTGTATAAAACATATACATACAACAGTCTTACCAGATATCCTCCCTTCAATCCCACTGGAGACTGTGGTGTTACATTTATGCTCAGTCCTGCAAGTTGCTGAGTGCCAAGTTAATCATCTGCTTAAATGCTTTGCTGGGTGAGAACCAGTGCTCAGCAAGATGCAGAAATGAGTCCGAAGTTGTTCTAACCTGGTCTCTCTGTTAGCAAGTTTTAGTTGCCTGGTAAATATACCTGTTGTGTTTGGTCTTCATGGCTGAACTTAATACAGAAATTGAGTTCCAAAGGATACTGAATCAGTGTCTTAAGTATGTGATTTTCCAGCATCTGCTCTCCCATCAGAAGTGATAGCTGCTCTCCCTGTTTATCTTGGAGTTGGGAGATACGTACTCAATTCAATGCACAAAGCCTAGAAGTCATTTTTTTGTGCAGCTGAATATGTTTTTGCTTTAACTCTTCTAAGGTTGAGGCAGTTGAATTAATTCTGCAGATCTTTGATCATCATGGACAGGAGATAATTTCCACAATTCAACTTATCTGACATTTTGTTCAGAGGAGAATCGAGACTTGGCAAGTAGAGTTAGATCTGAGTGCTTTGAAATTGTCTGGGAAGTTGCCCAAGTCTGATTTCTGTTTATATGTTCATTTTTCTAGACAGCAGTGACGATGAGGTAGAGAGTACTTAAAATGTAGATATGTTTTGGAAGGGCTTTTGAGCAGAGACAGGAAGGGAAAAAAGTTCTAAAGCAAGGAAACCAAGTTCATGTAGGTATTTTTTTGATCTGGATGAAACGAATTTTTTCAATAAGGTCTTGAGAATTCTCCCTGAGGTGTGATTGGAAACAAGCATTTTTACCTGAAGTCTAATACCTCTTGTGTGGAAAATACCTTCAAATAAGAAGAAAATATTATATACTTGAATAAGTACTTAGCTCAGGAAATGCTCTTCCTTGTTATTTGAAAATCAACACATTACCATTTCAGATGAAATGTTGTTACTTAGTTGTCAATATGTATTTGACACAAAAGAAGTATTTTGTTTTCAGTCAGTGAGCTTATAGTGATAAATTCATGTAGGTTTGTGACACAGCCTGTTTGTTATCTGCTGTATCGAGGGAACTATTATAAATTCTATTTTGTTCTAGTAGTTGAGATTAAAATACATGATTGTTTGATGGCCTCTTTGTTAAAGCTATGGACAATATATTCCGTTTTTAAAAGGTTACAAGTTAAAGTTATGAGCAGATGATAGAATTTTACACAAAGGTAATAATTAATTAAAATTTGTCAAATTTTAAAGTATTATATTTAGAAAAGGTAAATATTTTTAAAGGAATTATGGGAAGCAGCAGTTGCTGTTTACTGCTTGTTTAGCCCGGATTTGCTTTCCTTAAAGAAAGGATTGCTTGTCATTGTCCAGGAGAGCACTACCCGATTCCTAAATCTGGATTTCCATGTTGGGTTGTTGGGGTTTTTTTGGAATTTGTTATTCAGAAAATTTGTCATTTAAAATTATATTCTGATATACAAATGCCACAGCAGACTGAGAGAAATGTCTCAGCTGAAATACTTCACATCTACTGCTGATTCTGTCAGTTCTGGCATATGTACACTACCGTTCAATTCCTGCAGAGTAATTTGCAGTTTTAATGTATTTTAAAATATTTTCTGAATTGTAAGTGCGAGTTATTTAGTGATTGCATAGAAGGATTATCAAAAACTTTCTATTTGATACAGTGGAATCAGATTTATTCTTTTGTAGTTAACCTGTGTTTTATAACGCATTGGCTCCGGTATCACTGCATGAAAGAATTCCTAACGATTCACTTCAGACATGTTTGACGTCACTTTTCCCCCTATATATAGATTTGCCATGTGCATCTGCCCTTACTAGCTGCAGGATTTAACTGGCTTGGCACGAAGAGGGCTATAACTCATTTTTATTGCAAGATGAAACATTTTGGAAAATCAGTAGGATATTTTCCATTTTTTTGCTCCATCACAGCACATGAGAACGTAACTTGATTAGCTGCTTTGGTTGATTCCAAGCAGTTCCTCCAGTGAACAAAGGATTTCTAATGCCAGCCATGGATCTTTTTTGTTCTTTCTCATTGACTCTTCATAAAGGACTGGGGGAGGTAAAGGGGCGTCTTTCTTGGAGAGTTTGTTTGAAGAAGTAACTGAATTTCAGGGCAAGAACTTTGGCAGTAGTGGTGCCATGAGTATGTTCCAAAAGACAGAAATTTTAATAAAGCAAAGGCAACATGCAAAACATTTTATATCCAAATTCAGAACCTTCAAAGCAACTGCAGAATGCAACTCATGTTAGGAGGCTCTACATTACTTTCTTGCTTAGAAAAGCAGTAAAAATAAATGCAGATTAATTTCTTCAGGTTTGTGGCTGCCCCATCCCTGGAGGTGTTCAAGGCCCAGTTGGATGAGGCTTTGAGCAACCTGGTGTAGGGGAAGGTGTCCCCGCCCATGGCAGGGGGGTTGGATCTAGAGGATCTTTAAGGTCCCTTCCAACCCAAACCATTCTATGACTCTGTGGAGGGCCCAAACGCTGTCCTTTTTACCTACATATTTCCAAAAAAGAAAAGAAGAGAAAATGTGCAAAATATAACTAGCTGTGATGACTGTCCCCTGCCTAACTTGAGTGCTGTAGCTGCTGAGGTTAAGAATATATTTCTTACATACCTATTTCTGCGTTGTTGTTAATAGTTGTCTTTTTTGTGTACTGATAATTTTAGGTAGCCAGGGTAGATAAATTGTTAGTGTAATTCGTTGTGACAATTATGATACCCACGTTAAACAGCAAATATAAAGTTAAATACTTTGATTTATGTAGAAAAGCAGCGTTTTGTGTTTGCTGGTTATGAAAGTCATGGCTTTGGGGGTTTTTGGTTGGTTGTTTTTTGTTTTGTTTTTTTTAAGTTGAAGAATCTTCAATTATACTGCTTTAAGGTTTTGAATTGTATTCTGAAAAAAGAAACTCTAGAGCAGGACATAGAGCAGACTGTCTGCTCTAAATTAATGTTTTCCAGCTCTTAAGGAAGGCTTTATCTTCTAGTCAGAAGTCAGAATCTCTAGAGATGTTTTATGTCTTCCACTAACTTTATTAAAAAGCAGTCTAAGGAAAATAGCCATTAGGCAGACATCAAGTTCAGCTCTGCACTATATGCAAAAACTTTTGAGGAAATTTCACAGTGAAAATGAACTTGGTTTTGTTCAGGTTCGTAGATCCTTGTCTCCTGGCAAAACGTAAGCCTTTGGAAGACATGTACTGCCTTTTTAAAAGTCACATTGCAGCCAAGGTGGGAGTAGAGTTTGAAATACAGACCAGCAGTTGATGCTAAATGGTTTACTCTGCATGCTTTAGTAATCCATCTGAGTGCTGAGATGACTATATGTAGCAAAACATCCTTTCTTTTATTGTAATTTTGTGCTTCTGGATTTCTCAGTGCCTGTAGCCTGTTAGTTTGGAGTGAAATACTATAGTGATCAATTTATGACTGATTTGGCCATTTTCACTCTTTTTGAGAAGGAAGTTTTTAGTGATCTCCCAATTACTGAAAACACAAACATGCAAGAAATGCATCTTAGCCTTTTAATTTTGCTACTATTTATTCACAGCATAGAGTGAAAAAAATAATACCTACGTTGAAGCATAATTTCTGCTGCTTCATTGTGCATGTCAGCACCCGCTGTGTTATTGCAGGAAGTTCAAAGAAAGGACTTAAAGGGCTGTCGTCTTATTTTTTTTTTAAATCTAGTTGATACATTTCTTATTAGAATGCATCAAAAATCCTGTAAAGTTGTTTTAACTATTAATTTTCTTTAGTGTTGTTTTTTATTGTGCATTATACAAAACTACAAAAGAGAATGTCATCCATTCTGAATGTAATATTTATAAAACTCAAGTAGTCTTTTCCATAAGACAGATTAATATATCACTGTGAAAGTTTCATGAGGGATCCCACCAAGAAATTTTGGATGTATTTGAAATTGTATGCTGGTTATTCTGAATACTAAAGTTTTGTATGCTCTAATTTGTATTTTGCCATTTTTATATGATACACACTTTGAAAGTGTGTATCATATAAAAATGGCAAAATACAGATCAGATACTTTCAATTTAAAAAAAAACAAATAAGGACTTTGATGTAGTGAGACTACATGTAGCTAAATTCTTAAATTGGGAATTACAGATGCACTTGGCAAATCTTTCTTTGGGATAAATCTGAATATAGGATGAGCACCTGGCACTCCTATGTACAGAAGTAACTTGCTAAATAATACAACCAAGTGAGGAAGATGTAATTTTAAAGTCATACTTGATTTACATTTTTATTTATATTTATTAACACTGTTATTTTTATTTTGTCTTAATTTGCTAAAACAATGAATTTAATTCTGGAATATATCAAGAAAGTCATGCTCTGTCCTGGTGTGTGCTACAATTACACCTGCGGGTTTTTTTAAGTCCCAGCTCTCTGAAATGTCAGTTCAGGAATACTATTCAAATTCTTCTTTCCACTGGATTATTTTTATTAGTTTCACCTAGTTTATGCAATTTGCTCAAAATTATATGCTGATATTTAGTATTTTACATGTCACAATATTGAACTTGACTGCAGTTCCTTGTACGTGTCCAGCTAAGTTGTCCCTGCTTCTAAGTAAACATATGATAACAACGGCTACTGAATCATAAATAAGTACCTGTAACATGCTCATTACTTTTGTCTGCCCTTTTTATTTAAATTCCCATTTTCATGTTCTGTCTTGGGTGAAGATTGTTTACTGTCTGTTGTCTGTTGAAATTTTTCGTCATATAGGCAAAATGCAGGATGGGAATATGGAGAACAGCCAGAACAAAGGTAATCTTCTTTCATATTAAGGAGGTTGTGGATTGTATTTTTAGCATCTAGTTAAAATCTGTTAAAAAATAAAATGAAATTATTTGTGCCTGTGTGTAAAAATGGCCCTATTGTTCAAACAGGACATTAAAAAAAAAACCAAACTACCTCTTAATAAAAAAAGCTACCAAAGAAATTATAACTTACGGAATTTTGATATATCAGGTATTTAGGATAGGAGAAGATCTGTGTTTCTAATAAGCCATTTATGGATGATACTTTCATGTCACAAAGCTCATTTGAATTCATTTTTCTTGTGCAAGTTATGTATGCTATGTATTGTTAGTGAATTTCCAGCCTGATTTTTGATATGTCTTGTCATCTTTGGTGTTTAATGGTATTGTATGGACATATTTGCATTTGCAGGGAGGAGGTAAAGCAATAACAAAAGGAAACTTTAAAGCCAAGAGCTTATTTAGCAGTGTAAAAGCATATTATAAGAATAAATAACAGGAAGATTAAGAATCTTAGGAGCTTCTTGTTTAATGTACAGTCTCAGGAAGAAATGGAAATAAGTAGTTTGCTTTCTTTGAAGAAAAGTCATGATTCCCTTTTTATTATGAGACACAGCTGTCATGATTCCTTTGGGTTATGCCAAATAAGTAAATTAAACTATAAGTTCTCTTCTCAGATAATACTAAAGGTTGTGAAGGTGGTGGATCATAAATGGAATAGATAAACTCAATTATTAATGGTACAAAACTATTAAATGAAGTAATCCTAAATGAATACATTTTAAAGTTAGAGAGACAAATTAGATTTCCAGGTCAAATACCCATAGTTTTGTACAGTCTGTTCACAAATGTCAAAGCAAAGCTGTTTCATCTCATTCTATTTAATTTGCTCAAGTCTGTGTTCAATACAGAACAGTCACATACACATATATAAACCGGAACGTCATTGCTTTTAAAAAACGTGTCCTTCTCTTTGATACCGGGCTGGCGTGGTTTGCAGTGTGGCCCACTGGTCACTGGGGTGCCTGTGCAGTCAAGAGAAGTGATGCACGTATCATCGGTGGAACCACATTGCCTTTAAAATATTTTCATTACAAGTGTGATTGTAAGGGTGCGTTGTAATCTATGGGACACAGCAAAATTTAGAGAAATACAGACCTTCCGTTTGCCAAAGCATTTGAGATCTGCTCTTCTAGGAAATCCTGCAGTACTGACGTTCTGTTACTGAAGGAGCAATATGCAAGACATGAGGTGATATATATGTGTATAACACAGAATTCATCGGTGGCTTAAAAAAGAAAGAAAGAAAGATCAGCGGTTTTCATGGTACATGACAAACGGCGCGTTACATGTCCCCATGTGTGTGGGGTGCACATGGGTACACTTGTACGTTTGTGCCCCTGCAGAACCCCACTGGGTCTCATAGAGGCATCTGTCTGCCGCGGGAGGGGAGTGTAATTCTGTGCACAGTTACAATCCTCTGTGTTGCCATTAGCCCCTGCAATGGGTGCTGCTGGCTGAATTCGATGTAAACACTAAGATAAAAAGAATGAGTAGTTTTGGAGTAACAGTTTTGTTCTGCATTATTAGCCAAGCAGCAGGATGGGGCTGCTGCCATGGAGATGCAGCCACTGAAGAGTGCAGAAGGGGGAGAGGGAGATGACAAAGACAAGAAGAAATCCAACATGCACAAGAAAGAAAAATCTGTTCTTCAGGGAAAGCTGACCAAGCTGGCGGTCCAGATAGGCAAAGCAGGTACGACTGGGTAACTGACCGAACAGCAGGGTGTTTTGCTAGCAACAAAGCTAATAACAAATTCTTCTTAAAAGAGAGAGGCCTTTTTTTACTGCAATATTTAGAAATAGGTCACCATAATGTTGTTCTAAGGATGGTATGTGGTATTGAAGATCTGTTATTCCTCTAAAACTTGACTTTGACTGTCAAGAAACTGGAAGCTTCGGCAACTTGGATTGTAATGAATGTTTGAATCAAAATGAAATGTAATTACGTATTTAATTTCCTTTAGAACTTCTGAGTACTCAGTTTCAGAATCTCTAATATCATCTCACAATATCACTCACACAGTATTTCCCTCTTACGGATTCTGAAATCATTCTGTTCTCTCTTAATATCCATGTTCATGTCTTCTACCGAATATGACACATCTGTTGACTCTTGTATCCAGTGCCATCTGGTCCATACTGTTATAAGTAGCACTTCTTCTGCAACATGTAGGTAGAAAATGAAAATCTTTCATAATGATGTAATGTTTTTCTAGTGGTATTAAAGAGATCTTTATCCAGATCCTTGGCTGAGGGTCTGCAACAGATTCCTAACTTCACCTCTGTTCCATCTCCTTTATCCTTCTCTACCATTCTGATTTTTACCCATGCTATTCCTTCTTAAGTTCATTCCTTTTTAAGTTCATTCCACTTAGCTGATCACGTAATCCCATGATGCCACTTCTACCTCTTTGCCTGTACAGTGCATGACTCGGAATCTATGATTGTCATCTCTTTAATATCCAATTTCATGCTTTGCCCAGTTTCACATCCCTCCAGCTTCTCTCCTGTGTTGCTAGTTGTACAACATACGCATTGATGTAAACCCACTGCATTTCTCATGATCATTAATTTCTTAGATTAAGTACCTTTCTACTTTGCCTTCTGATTATTATTCTCTTTGGTATTTCGGCAGGCATATGAATATCACTTTTAAGTGATTGTATAGGGATTTCTAACCATAATGTGGAAAGTAATATGAATTAAATTAATCATTGCTTCGTTTGGTTTTCTTGGGCAATCTATGGGGATGTCTTGCCTTGTCATGAGCATTTGCCTGTACAATATTTTAATGGATTTTCCTTTATCCTCTGTCATTTAGCAATCTCCCTGAATCATCTGTTTCTTGTCAACCTTAGCATCCTTCAGCTTACCAATTTCTTTTTTTTTTTTTAACTTCAGTCAAGACATGAAATTCACAGCATTCTCCTTCTACTGTATGATCTCATTAGAGAGAAATTAATTTATTCTGAAGTGCAGGCTTAACTGCTTCATAGAAACCTGCCAAAGAGCAGAAATCAAGGCAAAATAGATGTTCTAATGGAATTTTTATTTGTATGCTCAAATCCAGGCACAAAGTTGTAGAGGAGGAGTGCTATCGTAACAAAGTCTGTGTCGTTGAGAGAGCATGTTAAGTCTCTGGGATCTTTTTTGAATTCTCTAAAATATTTATTAGTGTCTCTTTGCTACACTGTCAGCCTTGTACCTCTTTTGAGATTCTCCTCAATATGCACTGTTTGCATGTCCGTTTGAAAAGGGAAACCTTGGAAACAGCAGTATATATCAGATTTTCAAGAAAAACAGTTAAAAACTGTTCTGTGGATGATTCTACAGTATTGCCTCATTTATATTCAAGCAGACACAGCAGCAGGGCTTTTCTAAAATATTTTGTACAGCAGCATAAACTACAGGAGACTCCTTTTCTCAAGCCTCTTAAAATAAGCTTATTTAAAAGAAAGATGAGTGTTTGAATATGGATAGACTAGTAATTTGTAAAAGGTGGAGGTTAAAAGGACAGATAAGTGTTGTACCAGGCAAAGTAATGTACTAAATTGAAAAAACTATCTGAAGCAACAGCAGAACTCCTGTTGAACTAGTCTGACTGAGCAGTTTTAAAGAGGGCAGTAAGATGGTGCTTAAAAATTGCAGCAGTATGATTCAGCTGTTCTGTAGGATCCAGTGTTTCCTTATTCCCTGGAATATATGGCTGTTGTACATGTATTATAGTAATGTTTTTTTCTACATTGTAAAATTATCATTAGCATCATTATTGGTAGTGGTGAAAAAGGTTATGTAGAATACGCAAATGATTTCATATCAAACTCAAATGTAGATTTCTAGTTGCACATGGTTTTAATTGTGTTTTGGTTTATAGTAATTGATTATTTGTATTTTCAGGTTTGGTGATGTCTGCCATCACTGTAATAATTTTGGTACTATATTTTGCCATTGACACGTTTGTGGTCAACAAGAAACAGTGGTTGCCTGAGTGCACTCCTGTCTATGTTCAGTATTTTGTTAAGTTCTTCATTATCGGTGTTACTGTACTTGTGGTTGCGGTTCCTGAGGGACTTCCACTTGCTGTCACTATTTCCCTGGCTTATTCTGTGAAGGTAAGAAACATTAAAAATAACTATGGGAAAGAAATGCTGTTCAGTTGAGTTTACTAGTGAGTTAGTCTTTGGGTTTTATCAGGTGTGATGAATATTAGCCTGTAAATTAATTTGCTCAAAATATTAATGAGAGTGAAATGTCTTCTTTAAAGTGAAACTTTGCTTTATATTGAAAGTATTTCTGATAAAAATGCAGATACATGTGTATTCTTAATATATCCCTTTCAAGCTACACAGTGCAGGCATATCAAGCAGTAGAAGTACCTACTGAGTTTGCAAGGTTACAGGAATTCATTTAGCAGAATTTACCATGAGAATAGTCCAATCTTTTGATACAGAATAACTTTGTCTTCAAATTTTCCTGTGAAATAGTACAAAGTTTTGACAAGGATTTAAACAGGGACACTTCAGGAACACTTTTCAAATAAATTAGATTTTCACTGGAGCTTTCATGTACTTTTCTTAAATGCAGTTGCAGTTCTTTGTTGCCAGTGTAAATGATTCTATCAGTTAAAGAGGGTTAAAATCCTGGACTCGTGGATTACTCCACTATCTATCTAGGAGTTTTCTCAGATTGTTTTAGCAATTTAGTGAGATGGGCCTTGTTTAACCATTCTGGGAATGAGATGAAGATTTTGTGAAGTTTATTTCCATTTAGTGTGTAGACAAATTAACATTACGAACCTTAGGCAGGAATAGCTTGGTTTATACATACCCCAGCATCATTATTTTTGGGAAAAAAGAGTGCATCTCAAGCATGGGATTTTGCTAGTAAAGGCTGTAGCTGCTTTTAAAATATTTTCCCATTCTTCTTATGTGCTTCATCTGAGGCATGCAACACATTGACACTGCAAAGACAGTCACGCATCTAACTGCAATACACCTTGTGTACAACTGGTGATACTGTGCCCTGTGAGTGTAAGATACTGGCTGACAGTGAGGGTCAGGCGATTGCGCACACATTTTTTTCATGTTGAAAACATATAAAGAAGTATAACATCTATTTCCAGGATGACTGTGCATCTTTTGAAAAATTTGCACTGTGGAATGGAGTGTTCTACAATGGTGGTTTTTTTGTGGCTGTGGGGTTGGTTGGTTTGTTTGTTTGTTTGATGGAGGTTTTTTTGGTTGCTTAGTTTCTTTCTTTCCCAAAGTGTATAGTCCCTCTGTGTGCTGCAAGATAACGTCCTGGCATTTGAAATAGTATTAAAAAAAAAAAAGTCTAATATTTGCTTTAATGGTAGCGTTTAAAAAAATCCTGTTATCTTCAGTTTCTTTAGCTAATCTTTGCTGTTCTAGCTATTCCTTAAAATGTATATATACTGCAAAAAAATGATGGAATTATGTTGGTTTATCAAAGGCAAAATTATTTCAGGGCTTGGTTGTCTGTAACTGGCGCTCGGGTCATTGGCCCCGATCAAAGTTCCAGCTTCGTGAGCGTTATGTTCTCATGCACAAGACTAAATACGTGCTTTTTTGCTTTTTATAACTGATGTTAAAAATCTGTCAAAGCAAATCTTGAAGGCTTTTTATTTTACTTTTTCTCAGAAAATGATGAGGGATAACAATCTGGTCCGCCACTTAGATGCTTGTGAAACTATGGGTAATGCTACAGCCATCTGCTCCGACAAAACAGGGACACTGACAACCAACCGGATGACGGTCGTCCAGGCCTACGTTGGTGATGTCCACTACAAAGAGATCCCTGACCCAGACTCTGTACCCGCCAAAACCCTCGATTTGCTGGTTAACGCAATTGCCATCAACAGTGCTTATACTACAAAAATTCTGGTAAGTAGGCTTTTTCTGTCAATAAAATGAAACATAGCGAAGGATGTTTTAATTTCTTTAAACAATGTTCATTCTTTAACATCCTGTTGTTGATTATGAAGCAATAAGTACAGTTGAGGTCTTCAAAATGAGAACAGGTGCTGAAAAAATGATGTATTTTTTGTTTTTCTTTTAAGGATAGGGATGTACTTATAAGTACAAGACTATGACACGTTTAAAATACTCCTGCTATTGTTAGATTGGGATGGCCCAGTTTAGGTGCAGGTAAATTTGCTAAGACAACTATTTTTTGCTGAGACTTTGTATCTGTAAAATGATTTTTATATATCTAAGGACTTTCAATTAATTCTCAAATAGGACAAATTGGATTGGTTAAATGAGCGAGGTTAATGATCTTTATTCATTCTGGTTTCAAGTGAATTACATCCAGAAGTATTTTATTCAGTTTGTAAAGGAGGGCAAAATGGAAATATAATTTCTGATTTACGAAGCTAATTAAGAGGCCAGAAACTTTTGTAGTTCCAGAGGACTTGTTCTTTGAAAGGTCAAGCTTAATTTTAATATTGCAGAACAAATACTTTTTTTTTTTAGTTTATGAATTTATGTATTATCCTTTTTATAGCTCTGTGCTGAGCTGCATAACATAGTCTTGCATGCACTTCATGTTTGTTTTAAAAGTAGTCTTTTTAAAATACCATCACAGAAAACAATTGGTGAAATAGTTCTGAGTACTGGAGCATATATTTCCTTTAATTCTTGCTATGTAAATATCTAGATATTGGTAACAGTTAACACTAGGAAGAATAATGTTTAGAGAAACCTGATGCTGATAAGCAAAGTGTGTTTGTGGCAAAGGTGGTTTTGATATGAATGCTCCTGAGGATTGTGTAGCCAGGGTTAGTGTCTGAAGTCAGGCCACAGCTTAGGCAGCCTTCAGACAGTCACCAGTGCTGGGATGCACTCCCTCTTCTGTTCTCCCTGAAAGCTCCCTGGAAAAGGAAACATGGGGAGGAGCAGCTCCTGAGGCGACTTGAGCTGTTTCTTACACCAGGAGTGGACGGGGAATCACACACAGCCTCCATCAGCTCAGAAGAATACTGTGAGCTTCCACCTCACAGGTGGAAATCAGGCAACAATGTGAGTGCACCTCTTCTGCTGCACTGTGCAGACAAGTAGCTCTAGTCAGCCGAGGCTGGAGCTGGTCCTTCTGGCTTTGAATTCGGATACCCTGGAAAAGCACCAGTTCTGGCTGCGAGTGTCCAGCCAGGCAGTGCTAGTTCCCAGCTGAATCTGGGATCTTATTCTGCCCTTTTCCCATGGTCTGTCCAGGTCAAAATCAAGCAGATTATCTGAAGTGAAAGATGGGCCCTCCGTTCTCAGGGTGGTTGAGTGTAAACGCTGTGTAATAGCTCAGCGTGGATGTTTTATGGCAGTGGCTTTTTGGAATCTAATTTGGGTATTTGTAAATTAGCAAGAATGTTTTACTATTGCTGAGTGGATCATGCTTTCATAAATCAGTATAACATCTGATTGCTGGGGAGAGGAACATGCATCTTAGTTATGTTAATATTGTTACAGCCTAAGTAAGGTTAGGTACTTCTGTAGAAAGAGAAATTGAATCAAACTCGTCCTCAACACACAGGCTGAGATTAAGACAAGGTAATATGGACAAATGGGGATGAAGGGTACCAGATAGCTCTGTAAATTTGTGCTTGTATAACCACTACAGCGGTACTGCTGGTCACCAGCATCGGTCCTAGCTGTCACTGTGAAGTTTGACTTTGGGAGGGCTTGGAAAGGACCTTACCAATGTTGGCAGAATTTTCCTCGTTCCTAAGAAACAGCAAGGCAGAGGGCAGGCAGACTGGGTGGTAGTTAAGTCAGGTGTAGCTGGCAGAGCAAGACCCTGTGCTTCATTTGTTGTATGTTTTCCTGTTCCTTACAAATGCTTGAGAGCAAACACAGTCACAAAATGTTTCTGTTCAACTTCCATACCAGTTGGCCCTCTCTGAAACTCAGAATAGTTTTAGGTTTCTGAGTAAGGCATGGGAAGGCATCAGAATTTCCAGACCGATGCATCTGTAATACTAAGTTTAATGTTCTGTCTTTCTCTTGCGGTAATAGTTTCATTTGACTGAAAAACTTCTGTCAATAGTACTAAAATTTCACTTTGATCTCAATATCATTTCAAAATTTTTTATTTTTTTTTTACTCTGGCTTGACTTCCTTGCTTCTTGTCAAAATTATTTATGTGTGCCTATTAAAAAGAGTCAATATTTCACCATTTCAGTTCTTTTTTAGCTTTGCACAGGGACTGGTTCTTTGTAAAATTGATAAACGAGTGAAATCCTTGAAATCACCTTTGTTCTGCATGCATATCAGACAGCTACTTGAACTCATCTGTGTAAAATTAATGGTGATTTTTTAGCTATTATAACTGCATCATACGATCAAGCCTTGCAGTGTGCATCCTACAAGAATAACAGCTCCAATATCAGAGGAGTTCATTTTATTCGTTGTTTATAACAAGCTTAAGCTAAAGTTTAAGATACAAGGTATTGTTTCATCACCCTCATTCATTATAAATCCTAAATAAACACAGTAAAAAATACGTAGGGGAGTTGCTTCCAGGATGATGTGTACAGAATTATTTTTCTAGCTGCTAATACTGGATGCATACTTGTGCACTCATTCTTAGAGCATATTTAATCAAATTGTGAATATCAGCTCAAACCTAAAGGGCATATAAGTGTTCTGTGGCTCAGATTGAATTTTACATATCCTATTTTTAGTTATCTAGTTATGCATATGTTGTAAATTGTGCTTTGTGTGAACTTCTGTTCAGAGGGATCACATATGGGGCCATAAAATTAGTCAAGATGCTCTGCTGAATGAGAAATATTCCCTCTTGCATTGTCTTTTGATTAAGGGGCAATTGAACCATTGATAAAAATATAAAAAGAAAATAATATCACTGCTTGGGATAAAAGATTTGAATTTCCTTGAGAAATTAAACACAAATTATTCCAACTGAACAAAAGCGTTATTAAATATAGTTCCTTTTTATGCTTCCAAAGGATTAAGCTGCTGGGTGAGCTGATTTTGCATTCCATTAGCTTCAGAGCAACTTTAATCCTGCTTTTATGCTGTTTATGTGAAGCTGTTCTCCAGAAAGCCTTTCTTTTCCAAAATTCATGTTTTAGATAGCTTTCCCACACGGAACTAAAAATTAGGCTTCATACACTTTCGCATGTGAGCTGTGATGAGGACTGTAAAGCATCTCTTACTCAGAAAACAAAATTGGTGATTTGGGAATATGTTGATTGCACTTGGAGCAGAAGTTCATTGATCTTAGTTATGGAGCAGTAATGAAGTAGAGACTCCAAATACCAAACCTAGTGGTTTGAGCTCTTGCTTGCATAAATTGAGTTTTAATTAGAAAAGTATTCTTCTAATTTCCTGAAAACTGTCAGAGGGCATAGATGACATGCTTCCTGGATGGGTATGATGTCTTATTAAGAAGAGATCACAATTCGTATTTAGATGAATGATTTTTAGCACCGGTGGAAATGACCCAGCTGGACCTGGTGTTGTTAGGATCTAACACAGGCATTTCATTTGGCGCTCGAGAGGTGCCTAGGGAGCGAAAAAGCTACTTACACCTATATTAGCTGAATATCTGGGTCTGCATCAGGAGGGCTGTTCTCAGTTCCGACGATCTGGAGTGTCATTTACGGCATTCGCACAGTGTGTTGGCACAATGGAGTAACATCCTTAAACCAAGGATCTTGACATTCACTCCCTGCCACAGCTTCTTGGAAAATGAAGTAAATGTGTGTTAGTCTGTATGTTAGTAAATGTTAGTCAAGTAATGAATATGACTTTGTAAAACTTCGGGACAAAAAGGCCTCAGAATTCCATCACTTTCAGTAGAGTAAGGTCTTCTTGAAAACAGCTGTAAAGTTGGTTTTGGGAATATAGATATTTGGAAGTTTCCTACTGAATCATTTAAAACCTTGAGAAGTAGTAGACTGGTCTATGGATTTTTCC